TTTACAATACGTCTGACATTACCTTTGGAGCTCTTCACCGCCGTGTGGCATACGCTTCTCTTGAAGGCCGCCTGCGAGGGTTCCCGCCCAGCCTCCAAGTGGCCTCCTGCCGGGAGACTCTTGGACACCAGAGCGTTACATCCTTGGCGGACCTTCAAAGTTTCGCCCGGTAACGAATTGGAACGCATGAAAGTGCGAGGCGACTTCTTGTTAGCGGGCAACGTTTGGTGAATGGGGAGAGGCGTGGTTGTCTTTGTGGGTTGGGAGAGCCTTTCCACACTGTCGCACACATTGTAGAAGAGCGCGTCGTCGTCCCTGTCATCCCATTTACTGTCGGAAATCTTGTTCTTGGCTGTTTCTCGGTTGCGCTGGACAGATTTTTGGAAGTAAGGGTTGGGCTCCAACTTAAAAGTGCTTCTGGTGGTGGGCTTGACTTTGGGACTTAAGTCCCGCAGGTTGGTCTGAGTCGAGTGCCGGACTGGGCCAGAATCCTGGTGTGGATTCTGTATCAGGGCCAGCAAAGAAGGATCGTTGAGCATGTCGTCATTCTCCCAGTCGTCGTCAAAGTCTGCACACTTGCTGCTTGACTCCTTGATTTTATGAGGAGCGGGACTGGACTTTTTGAGCTGGCTTTTGTCCTGGGAGGATTTGGAGGAGATCGGGCTCAGGCTGCCGCTGACGTTCTGAGTGGTGGAGTCGAAAAGGGCTCGCAGCTCGGCCTCGGTTTGGTTCAGTGGCGACGGCGTTTCTGTTGCCGCTTTGCCGATTTCGTTGTTGTTGTTGTTTCGCTGGGCTGACACCTGCTTGTCCTGCTGCATGCTGTCGTCAAACTGCCGGGCCAGTCTTATCAGCTCGTTGACGCTGTTTTGTCTGGAGAAAAATCTAAAATCATTTTATTGTCCAAAGGAGTTGCTCTTATTCAAGTTTTTCAATTTGTGAAAAAAAAACCCCAATATACTTTCAACCATGTATAGCATAGGCGACTCACCGAGCGGACTTCTTCCTCACTCTGGCTTTGGGCACCTCAGGCGTCAAGGCCGTGGGGCTGCCCATCCACTGCCACAGAGGCGACAGCGGCCCTTTTGGTTTCGTGTCCTGTGAGACGCAAAACACAACAGTGACTACGCATGACAAGGTTGCCAAAACTTTTTTTTTTCTTTTTTTTTTCAGGGGAAGATGAGCAGCTGACCTTTGGCGCAATGAGATTGACAATTTCGGCTATTTCCAAGGTTCTGACATTCGGCCCCGCTCCTAAAAACAAGGGGCAGTTTAAGGGACATGATATGGTCAACTGACTTTTTAATAGCTGATATGCAAATAGTTCAGGCTTTGGACATTATGACCAAATTATGTCACATTATTCCAATACCTGTGAACTGTTTGAATTTGGGTTAAAATGCACAATGTCTCCTTTAGGAATAAGTGGTGCTGCCATATTATTATTTACCAGCGTTGGGGGGTGACATGGCATCCCAAACGATGTCTTGTGATGGCTCCAGATCACCCGTAGAGTCTCCATGGTTGGATCCACAGGATAGGCTGTAGCCTTGGCACTGAGGACTCTGCAGCTCTTCGCAGTAACCACAACATGAAATAGAAGATCATGTCTTGTACACTTGAGAGCGGCAACACTGTCCAACGCGTTTTTTTTTTTTTAGCCACTCACAGGGCTGTGCAATTATGAATACATTTTATCAGATGATTCGAAATGTATTTGTAGTACTCTGGGCCCTTGAGGAATAAAGTGTCAATCCGATGCATGCTTCACACAGATTGCAAACTTGACAATCATAATAATATAATGCTTGACTTGTTGTTTTTCTCAAACGACCCCTCCCCCCCATTAATTAATCCTGCCCTGCTGCAAGTGCGCGTGCGAGTTTCGAAAAAAAATGTAAAAACAAACGAGCGCGTTAATCAATGCATAACTATAGTCACCTTTCCAGAGGGTCGCGAAGGGAACTTCGGCGTCGTTCTTGTCCTGACTTTTTTTGTGCCAATTTTTGCAAACAGATTTAGGGGTATCAGTTGAGGAGGCATCCGGAGAAGACGACGAAGCAGTAACGGTGGAGGATGTCGTCCGCTTGGACATGATGCGTTAAACCGGTTCGAGCGCTGTCGATCCTGCTCAACATTATTTTATTGCTCGATTCGAAGAGATTGCAATATGGCGACGACACTTTTTTGAGGTGTTTTCTACTTCAATCGAGTGACTCTACGCGCGCCGCCATGTTTGTTGGTGATGCCATACGGAAGCCTCGTTGGTTTTGAGGCGAGCCAAACGCGAAGCCGAAAAACAGCACCGCAATAGAACAACCGGTCTTGTTCTATTTTGTTCTATAAATGGTTGTAGTAACGTCCTAGTTGCAGGCTCTTACAAGTCATTCTTAGGATGACAATATGAATCTCTGTTGTCAAGAAGAGTTGAAAAGCAGTGACTTTAATCAATCACCCAGCACTTTATTAGGAGAAACAGGGATTAAAACGTTTTTAAAATCTAAGAGAGATTTTTTTTGCCATTCTGTACGGCTATTAACTAAAACACTAGATGCTGCTTGCATACTCTACCTCCTTTGCTATTTTGTGCTTGCTTAGTGATGTGTATACAGTATACTGATTGTATAGTTTGTGCACTTAATGTCAATTGAAGCCTTTAGGGGGCGCCTCCTCCCTCCCATTCTCACATCCATTCGCAAGTGTAGGACTCCTCCGTGATTTATTTTGATGCCGCGACTGCTTTTGGTCCTTTTCCAGAGGGTTCTCTCGCTTCTACGCCGCACACCTTCATTTTATCGTTGACGCCTGGCTTGTTTAGAGGCAATTAGGGAGCTAATTGTGCTAAATTTCTTTACGGCTCTTTGCAGGAAAAAAAAAAGTCAAGAACGCATGGCTGCATGCCCGAGCAGCTGCTGGCGTTTATGGCGGGGAAAAGCGGGGAGCACGTCGTCGGGGGATCGGGGCAGGTGAAGGCTCGGAAGAGGAAGAGGAAGGTGTAGGGTGGATGCCAGTTTGTTGCGATGATAAGCAGCTAACAAATAATAACCCCTCTGATGCCCCGGGGCAACGCATCCCCAAAGAGTCACAATGAAGAGGATACAATGAATTCTCGCAATATTGTCCCTCATCCTTTGTCTCGTCAGTATCACAGGTAATAGTACTAATCAATACTACATGTTAAGATTCACCTGACAAACATGTGCGCACAAACACTTTCATTTCCTCAAAAAAAATCAAAAAAAAATCGTGCAAATCTGAATTTTGAGAGTCAGTGGGGTTTCAGTGCAATACCACTTTGTGCCACAACATGTCAGGCAGCATTGAGCTCTACTGGAAGACATGTGGCATAATTACGTGTAAGAAGAAGAGGCAGAGAAGGTCCTCAACTAACCTACACTAATAGTCATTTTTTGCTGGTGTGCTGGAACCTCTCCCAGCCGACTTCGAGATAAGCGGTCTACAACTTGAACTGGTTGTCTCATTTAAAATCGTCCCAACACTAGGAATTTCAGCTTCATATTATCCGATTTCTGTAGTCCTCCATGATGAAAACGGACTGATTACATTTGTTTTGAATTCGAATAAAACATTTGATTTGTAAAACGATCAAAATGTTTGCCTATTTTCTAACTTCTGAAGGAGCAAACCATAAGCTAAATCAGAATTCATGTTTGTGCACACTCGATGTGAAATAATTACCTTTTTTTAAATATCAAGATGGAAATTTAAACACATTTATTTTTTTTTTCCAATTCATCGATTATTTGACAGATTAATCAAATATGAAAATAATCATTAGTTGCAGCCTCATTAAAATTATATGGTTTCTCTATTAGCGCTGAAAGATCTTGAAATATCGATTTGAGATTTTTTTCCCCCCACCTGTCAATATTATGACAGCAATTTAATATGCAAATATTTTTTTCAAGGTCCTCTTCCCATGCAATTGTTAACAACCACATGCCATAAATTAATCTGTATCACAATAACAATGTCAGATTTATTGTACATAAATTTTGTTTTTATATGTTAGGCCTACGCTAAAATAAAGGCAAATGAACCGTGATTTCATATGCAAGGCAGTTTATTTCATCCTAAATACTTCCCAATCTTTGAAACGGTCACTACAACAACTTCACAAAAGTATTAAAACAAAATTCTACTGAACAAGAGTGCCGTAAACATAAGTCAGAGGAAAA